CTATGATATAACATCAAATAGATGTTAATGTTAACTGGAAACCCACCTATCAACCAAGAATAACAGAGTCAGCAAAGATGACAATTGTAGCAATGTTTATAGCACCTTAAATACATTTATTTAAGATCATTTGTTTAAGATAAATTTGTTTAAGATCAGAGTTATTTAATGAATCATAATACTATCAATGTTCTGTTGACAGGTAATTCACGTGAGATTGACACTACATCCAGCAAAACACCCAGCCATGATCTGAACTTTCAATCCCTCTCTAACTGGGGCTAGGGAAAACTACTACCTTCTTTGCACATATCAAGTCCTCTGTGCTCTTTATTACATTTAAGCATGTTAATTTTGTTTTAGAAAAGCTTACCACTCTTTAAGTAAAACCACTAGCACAAGAACATTTCCTGTTGGACGTAGCTGGAAAAGGGTTACCTTAAGAGATTAGTAGATCTGCATATGCTAAGTGTCTTTTCTAAACTGGAAAGTTGAGGGACAGAAAAAATTGAGGCTGTGCAATGATTCAGCTTTGAGGGGAAAATGGCGCTTCAGAGCTGAAGAGCATTCATTTAACATTCTCAGCAACTTCTTGTATTAGCTGTGTCTTTTCCTGGGGCCATAATTTACTGACAGATGCTATGTTCTTGCCCATGTATACTCCAAAATAAAATTTTTCTTTGAACCTGAAAATATCCTGTTACTTTAGCTATAGTCTGTATACTTCTTACTCCTATAAAAAAGCAGTAAAATGCTATGCAACCTAGCCGTAATGGCAATCTTGCATCAAGTGCTGAGGAATTCATTTAAAACATTTTTTTATTTTTCTAACTAATGAATTGCCTAGGCTTGAAAACCACTCTACAATCACTAACAAAGAAGCCCACAAATAACATAAAATATAGCGAATCCGAGATGCATTCAGAGAAAAATGCCACAATAGAATGGGATTTTCTGGGGCTGCAGGCACATCTTAAATTGAAACGCTACAGGCTGGTTTGGGACTTCCTTAGTGCTTCTAGCAAGGAAGTCCTCTCCTGAATCAGCTATTTTTTTTGAAGGCAATTACTACAATCTACTGAACTATTTTAAGGACTTTGCAAGAACTGTTTGGGGTGTGGGTGTGTGTGTGTGTGTTCTGCTTCCTTGATATATAAACATTCAATTTTCATCAAACTGAGTGGGTTACAGAAGTATATACCTAAGGGTTTCACATTTTCTTAAATTCATATGCTATTAATCCAACCTTCCCATTGCTCCTTTCATTTTGAAAGAATCCGGTGAACTATGGTGGTAATTATTAATTTTATCAACATAAAGCAGTCATGTAAGCCAGTTTAATGTCTCCATGGTTCCAACAAGAGCAATATTTTAATAAAGAGACAATTTAAGTGAAATATTCAATGTTTTAGACGATTTTCTAAAGTACCAGACAAAAAATTCCTTTATCTTGGAGCATCTCTTATCAAGGAACTTTCCTTCCTACCAGATATAAGTAAATTACACAGGAGAAAAGACTACAGAAGGTGTTTTGTTGCTGCAGCAGCCTCAAATTCTTACAGAAGAATTTGGCTTTGCTCTATAACACCTATACATATGGCTTAAGGTACAAAATAAAAGACTGGCACAAAGGTACTATTTATATAGTTCCTAAGCTTAATTGTATTCCATATTCTAATAGGATTTTGCAGAGTGTTTGTATTACAATGCCATTTTTGAAAAAGGACTGATTGTATGAAAGAATATGAAAAGAAGTACAACCAATTTGGTACTGCATCTCCAAATCATACCACAAGCCTAACATTTGCCTCCAAAAGAGGAGGAGGAGGGATTGGATGTCCTAATGCAAAACTAAACAAACGCATTCGTATTTCAACATATGGCAACTTACTGAAAACAGGGCTTTTATTCCTCTAAATTATTTTAGAATCTTACTAATACTCTCTGAAAACATCTGCTCTCCCAGGTGAGTGTAAACATCTGTTGCAATCTGGCAGAGAAAAATGCAAGTGGAAAACTAGTTACAAAGGCCAGGTGAACAGAAGTAGGAAATGGAAACAATCCAAAGACAAAAAGCTGGCAACAAGAAACATTTTCCCCATCAGAAATACTTTTCCATATTAATCTGTCAAAAAACAATGCACAAAGTAGTACCTAAAAAACTGCAAAGTTTTAAATTGCAATTCTACAAATAAGACAATTAAGATGCAACACTTCTGCAATTAGGTAAAATTCTCTCAAAAGGCCGAAGATTATCTAATTGTTTTTAAAAAGTTCAATTTATCATGGACATTACCTCTATGCCAGAACTGAGCTGAATAAAACAATGAGAAGAAACAAGTAGATACTGAAGCACAAGAGCTGTGTAAATACACAAAAACTTCCTTCAACAACCCAGTTCCATTCAGTTATGAATGGATTAGCCATCTATTATGGTGGCCACAAAATATTTACAGAATTTACAGAGCAGAAATTAAACCTTGTTGCTATTAACATTTGCTCATTTAGCATAGCTCAGAACTGAAACTAACATTGGGTACACATACCTTGCATAAAGTCTGCCTTTGCAGTTGAGTTAGAAACATGAGAAAACATTGCTGATGCAGATCAGTTAATACCTTGCACACTGAAGTGTCACTTGTCTTGTTATTTTTCATCCCTAGACGAGACAGCCACGGGAATATTTGCAGGCAAAGAAGAAATTTTCTTTCTTTCTCTTTTTTAACAAGAAGATGATAAAAATGCTTTCCAGCTTAGTGGATACTTGTGACATCAGTTTCATAATACAACAACTTGTACAATACAGGAATCAGACTGTGTGGCCCAAAAGCATATCATCAAAACGGGTTGCATTCAGAACCCATGCAAGGAAAGAAAACATAAGGCTCTATACGTAGTGCAAAACACAAAATGGGAGTGGGGCAAAAGCCAATGGGTCTTAACATGCAGTTTATGAAAGCAAAAATGTATTTAGAATTATGTGCAATGTTCTATGTTACACAGTTCTAAACACAACAGGTTAAGAGCAATTGAAAGGAGGATTTAATGTAGTCTTATCTTCTAAGTTCAGGGTTAAGGATCTTATACACTGCTGAAACACAGCACTTAGCCTGCTGGCCCTGATGCCTTCCACAGGATCTGCCAATTACAAATTCCACAAGAGTTGTCTCCTTTCATATAATTGTAGAACCATTAATATGCCCAAGAAGGCAGAACAGAAATGCAAACTATCTATACATTTTATTTAAAATGTGACAAAGCTGGATCACTCTATCCCCACTTGTCATATGGTTTATTTATGGTACAAATAAAGCACAGGTAATAAAGAGATGGAATTCCAAAGAGAAAAGTTAAACAGGAGCAAAAACTACCTGGAACTGTGGTAGCTGGTCAGCTTGGTAAAGACCGAGAATCATTTGCTTTGCAGAGTAACTTTCACAATATTGTGTTTTCAATGAGCAAACTCTAGAAGAACTATACAGAGATCTTCCTCAAATAAGTTTATCATCAGTCTCCATAATACCCAACTGATTTCATTATAAAGTCAAAAGCAAACAGTCACCAAGATTCATGGAAAAAGAACTTGCCCATTTACATGAAGTGTTATAACAGGGTGGCTTTGCAATATCTGTTTAAATTTCTGGTTTTTCAAGCTCCTTTACCTGCAGAAGAATAGTGGATTTATTTACAAATGCTACAATACTCGGAGTGAGGAATAAAATAGTCTTTTCATAAATGGAATACGCTACATACAAAAAGCACTTTGGGGTCTAACCATATAACCAAAAACAAGCAGCATAAATATTGGCTTAAAGTAAAGGTAGACTTTTACTCCTGATGACTTCATGGATGCATCCATGTAGTTTTCCTTGGACTGAGAACATCCTTCTGGAATGTTTTTTCAACTTCCCAGTCTAACCTACAGCCACGGTATTTATTTATTTACTACAGATTATATGCTGCACCCATTAGGAGACTCTGAGCAGCTTACCATGTGTTTACAGTAATAAGATTAAAAACCATACAACTAACAAACCATTAGGCACAGAAAACATCCATGACATACTGTTCTGACTGCAGTAATGGGTGCCGACATCTTGGGGAGTACTTTTAACATTCCTCCTCAAATACTCTCCAGAAGAGGCAGGCTTTGCAGAAGACTTATCAGGAAGGGGACAGTTCTTCTGTTTGTAGGAAGGTTATTCCAAAGATATTCCCTGGAGATCTCCCACCCAAGTTCAAACCAGGCCAGGCCCTGCTCAGCTTCTGGGCCTAGACAAAGTTAATCAGGTGCTGCCACCTGCTAAGACAATTTTGGCTTAGTGTTACTCAAATAGTTCATACAGAATCAACATCTCTCTTAAACTTAAGTATATCAGTATCAGGCTAATAAGGCCTTCCAGGTAAATACTTCATCAGACCGATAACCCTTAAGGCTCTACTGTTCACATGCACCAGTGTTTCTCAACCTTGGCAACTTTAAGGTATGTGGACTTCAACTCCCAGAATTGCCCAGCCATGCTGGCTGGGGAATTCTGGGAGTTGAAATCTATACATGTACCAATGACCTGGCTCAGAAGTTCTGAAACTAGAAAAAGAATCTACAACGTTTAATAAAACCAATAAAAATAATTCTTGATCTCCATCATATTTTATTTATGTGCCATCGACAAACTGTTTTTTTAGAGGGTCCAGATCAGAATTCGCTGTCACTGCCACAAGACAGGCCTGGATTTCTAACTACCAATTGTTTAATAATTCTCCATTCAAATTATATGAAGAATGATCAAAGTCAGTGCAAAATTATTCATCTTACCCTGTTTTGTAGAACTATGATCTCCACTCAGTTCTGATACAGAAAACAGATTTCTGTGCTAAAATTGTTTTTAATTCTATGGGTCTTGTTGGCAGAGCCAGGAAAAAAAGACCTTTCCATAAGTCCATCCAATTTAAATCTTCGACCATGCATTTCTCAATTTATTTTCAACAAGTGTACTTACGGTTGGCATAGCTTTACTAAGTCCTGGTCAGTGGTATTTGGAGGCAGCCCTCTGATATACAGGTTTGTTTTACTTAATTGATCCCATCCTGAGTTGCTGCTGCTGCTGCTGCTGTTGTTATTGCTGCTGGTGATACTGGGGCTAGGAGGAGCCATTGGATGGGCAGGCACAATGGGCTGCTGCAAAATGAAAGGAAGACTGTTTCAGAAGGGAGAGTAGCTTGAAGGCACACTAGACAAACCTGAAAGTATCTTGCGGATACAGCTATTCTAAGAACCCTGCCATTCACGGTGCCATGACCCTGCGCTCCAAATATTCTTGCTTCCCCAAGTATTTAGGGGAGCCATTGGATGGGCAGGCACAATGGGCTGCTGCAAAATGAAAGGAAGACTGTTTCAGAAGGGAGAGTAGCTTGAAGGCACACTAGACAAACCTGAAAGTATCTTGCGGATACAGCTATTCTAAGAACCCTGCCATTCACGGTGCCATGACCCTGCGCTCCAAATATTCTTGCTTCCCCAAGTATTTACAGGTTTTGTGGTGCAAATTCAATCCCATCTTACGAGTAATTTTATCATTCCAAATCCTGGCACAGAGTCCTCAGTATTTTCTCTTTTCTCTAACTTTTGATACTGGGCAAACAGATTCAGAAAACCTATTTCTAAAGAGTCTACTGAGTTTCATCACCACGGAAGTGAAATCTCAAAAATAAACTTTATGCCTGCCGTAGCAACATTACTGCTCTTTCTCTGCACTGTAAGAGAACTTCAACCATCCCCAATTGCCCATGGATTACACTATGCAGTACTCTTCTACTGTTAAATTAGAACACAGAAAATAAAGGGGTGAAAAATACAGACCAGTTGTGATTAGTATCTCCACAAAAAATAATTTCTTAGTACTTGAAGAAGCTGGCTTGGCTACCAAATGTAAGTGAGTTGAGGAACCTATCATTACATTCAAAATAGAGCTATTGACCTTCATGCTCTGTTTTCATAAACAATCTAATGTTAACCTAAGAAATTCACATACGTCTTATCTATAAGAGACCTGTGCACACTTGGAAAACACTGGGAAGAACTTCTTCAGGCCACGCATGAATACAATACTCTTTGCTATTCATTAAAGCAGCCACTTTTTTTCAGGCTTCCCCCCAAGCCTGCGGGGGGGGGGGGGGGGCC